GTGTATCAAGAGGAAATTGGTAAACTGATAAATAATCAAAATGTTAAAACTGATAAAATAATTTCAATATCACAGTCACATTACACACGACACGATATACACGTAGAACATACAATCGTATCTATCAGCAAACTGAAAACTGGTTTCCAAACATTTAAGACAGGAGTTTTAAACTCAAAAACAAGTTTCAGGTTAAGAGTAAATACGACCAACCAGCTTTATCTGTTTCTATGTGTCTGTTATATGAAGTACAGCCAAAACACTAACTAACGAATGTTAACCAAAGTTATAAGTAACATTGTCTTTTTTTTTATTAGGTAATCTAATTATTTAGATTTTCATTTACATTGATTTTGAGTTATTTTTGCTTTCCCACAGATGTCAGTGAGGTCTCATACCTTAGAGTTTGGGCAAATTAGCTTGTAGTTTATAGAGTTTAAGACGAATTACACTTTTATTTATAAAAATTTTGACCCACTGTAAAATACAATATATTATTTTAAGTTTATCAGCATTATTCTAACGTTATAAGGATTGTCGGGACTAGTTAATATAGAACAAATTCAGTGTGTTATGATGAGAATTAGAATTAATCAATGTGCAGGCCAATTCAATGTGTTGTTAGGATTGATCGATAATTGAGCCTCCCATTTTTATTGTTGAGAAGTAGGTATGTTACTATTTTCTAACCAATGGGGTAATTTTTGAATGAACTAATTTTCGTTCAGCAGTGTTAACGATAAAATTAAAGTTTAATTCTTCCATATAGACCTCTATGTGCCAGTTTACGCATTAAAAGCTCAGATAGATGACGTATACAAATACAATGTACAACTATCTTCAGATCTAGGTACTTATATTTCTGTCTTCATTTTTCATTTATGAATATATTCTCATGCTTATAACTTTTCTTGTTCTGATTCTGTTTAAGATAGTTTAAAGCTTCATCTTGTAGTTTTGTTTTTAATACTTGCTTTTTGTTCTTCTTAATTTCATATATGATTTGTCGATTAATATATATATATTTTTTACGTTTACATTTCCTAGGTTTATAACTGATTTATTGAATAAATTTTAATGCTAAAGTCTACTTGATCTCACTTAGTATTTTACAATATTTGAAGTTCCGCGCTGAGCCAGTGGTAAGTTTAAGACTTGCAAGGCTAAAATTCAGGAATTCGATTCTCCTCCCCGGTGAACAGATCGCACCTAGCATATTAGTAGCTTCACGTTAAAAACAAGCAAAATACTAGTGGAATGATTTTCATTTCACACTTGTCTTGTTTCCAAGCCGTTTTTCTGACATTTAACCTCCTTCTGTGAGTTACCCGAAGTAATTAATTGCAGCATACGATCAGTGCTTCCTAGATGACATTGGAAATGTTTTTTTTCTTATCTCTATCGGATTTATTCTGAATTATGTATCATGAACACTAGAGAAAAGCGTTCTTATTCTCTACTGTAGTTTCATTGAAATATTATATACACGTATAAATCAAGATGTGTAACAGATCGTAAAAAAACAACTGGTTTCAAAATGCGAAATAAAAAATACTTTTTTAGCTCATTTACAAAAAGAAAAGCCTGACGCCGCAGGGATTAGTTGTATTGCTCATTTAAATTTTATATATATTTGTTTTTTGTGGTGACTCAGCGGTAAACTTGCTCTAAATTTCAGGGTTTGATCCCAATGCAGATAAGGCCATTCTGTAGCTTTGTGCTTAAACAAACAAACAAATCATATCTTTGTTAAATAATGTAGTTTTTACTTTAATTAAACAATACTACCACTGCTACGTCATAGAACATCTAATGTAACAGACAAATAATGTTTAGTTTGAGATATTTAAACAATAATATTTAGTTTATATAATAATCATATATTTAAACAATTTTTACATGTAAAACATCATTTATAACACCCGTTTGCCTTCTGCTTTCTGAACGGCAGTAAACAACTTAACATAAATTTACTTCTACAGTATTTATAATGTTTTGTATTAAATCAGCTTGCTAGACTAGGCTTTGCCAGTTTATTGTAAAATAACAAGTAGATAATGACGCAGAATGGTAGAACAAGGTATGTTTTCATTCTGTTCGTCATCACCTCGTGTGTAAGTACTCTATTACCGTCATGGTTTCGTGCACTTCACAAATCCCATACTTACGATAAGACTGTTTCATTATATATTCAGCATAGGAAGGGAGAACGTTCTCTTCCACCTGATCGTGTACTCTAAACTTAAGCTTATTTGTAAACTTTTGTTAGGTTTCTTTAATATATCGTTCACAACTTGTTTCACATTATGGGGATTTACATAAAGTTGTTTAAAGTTTTTTGAAAAAGCAAATAAATTAGCTATTGCTTTCCTGCGTATGTCGCAATAGCTTTAGAACGATGGTCACGTGATAGACAGGCATTTGTTCTGCACAAAAGAACAAATTGCACTGATCTGACTTGAAAATGTCTGAAACGTCTGATTCTTTGCTCGAGAAGGATATGACCGTTTTTGTTTTTTTTACATAAGAAATATTCACGCAGCAAATTTTTTTAAATATGTATAGCTCAAGGAAAGGGCGTGTTTAAGGGCAAGCAGCCCTCACCCCCACCCTAACAACTCAGTGGTACATATATTGGTATTGTTTATATACACACACAAATATATTACATATATATGTATTTATCTAACGCCCTACCCCGCCCCACAAAAGTGGTCAAATTTGAATTCCCGTGCACGGCCCTACTCAAGACTGTAACATTTCTCGTAAGGTAGCCTTTGATATTTTCCATTAAAAAACTAGCACAGCGCTAACGACAGCAAAGGGCTCGAAACCACGTTGAACACTGACTAGTTAAATTTATCGCTGAAAAGTAGATGATGCCAACTTAGTCAAATTCTTTACAGAAATAAAATTTCGAAAGAACTAAAACCATCAGACTAGTTAAATTTATCGCTGAAGAGTAGATGATGCCAACTTAGTCAAATTCTTTACAGAAATAAAATTTCGAAAGAACTAAAACCATCAGAGTGTACTTTCAGTGTAAATCAGTGACTATTATGCAAGCAAAGGACTCTAGTGGCTTGAAGTTAGCAATTCATGGACTTTGGATCCACTGATCGACACAGTTTGACAGTTCTTAGTTAAAGCGAATACAGTACATTCATATTTACGATAATAAGACATAATGATAGACAAGTTACTTGCTAAAAAACATGGAAGTATAAAACTACATTATAAATTAAACTGCTTAATTGAATGAATCTGAAGTAAAACGTGAAAGGCAAAAGCATTTTCAATCTATGCACAAATTTAAATCTCTTTTCATGCGTCATCTACAATGTGCATATGAAATGTACGTCCAATAAAATGGTGCCCCTTTAACTGCAATTAGAAGGCTGGTCGACTATTTTTACCCTAAAAACATCATATTCAAATTAGTGGAACCAACCGCTTTTTTTCAAAAATCTAATTTCATTCATTCAAATGTTTGTGAAGATGCTTGTATTTTCATGGCTTGATCGGTTGTTCCATAAATGACAAACAAAAATATTTAGTGGTTACTTAGAATATTGAATTCTTTTTTTACTGAACATTAGTTATTAAATTTTAATTCCTCAAATAAAACTCAAAACCGAGAAAATAACAAAACTACTAAAACAAATTTAAAAAATTATATTAAAAATGTTAGTTAAACAAATACAGTAAGCTAACGAAAGTGAAATTGAAAATGAAACAGTTGCGTTAATCGGAAGATGAAATTACAAACTTGGAGATTTTAAAATGAAATAAACCAGATTCTATAGAACAAATCAAAAACGAAAGTTGGAAAATAAGTTCGGTTTCTAGACACGCCCTCTGGGAAACTGAGATTGTTGACAGTTATTTAGATATAGTCGCTATATCTCTAAAATGATATATGTTGAATTCTCTAGAAACGACTTAAGAACAAATTCATTATCTACACGGGTGTAGGCATGAAAATGTAGTGGGTGCTCAATTCTAATCACTTTAGATACAATTTAATTAAGATCGTGTACACTTTAAATAACTATAAACTCAGATAAATATTTAATTCTTAGAAATTACCTACACGGGTTGTTTGAATTCAAAATTGATAACTCATATATTTAAAAAAGCTGGGGTTTCGTCCCCCTTGCCTCTTACCTGATTACGCCCATGAATCTAGAATTATTATTATTATTGATATGATCCTTCATAGATTTGTATATCATTTCATATACACTTAATAAGATCATAAAAAAGTATTATAATGTTGCCAATCAATAAATGACCTATTTAAGTGAGCAATTACTGTGTCGAGGTATTACTTTTTTCCGCTGGAGGACCCGATGAACTTTTCTTGTTACTGATATCGATTATTTCTGGAAGGGTAGAAGAAATTGTGTTACCTCATGGTTTCTACTCCATAATCGCGGTGGATTTCATATGAAACATCTTTTTCACATTTAATACGTATCTATCTACCAAATAAAAATGTCTACTCTTAATGACTTACTTATTGACATAAATACTTAACGTGATAATTATTCACATAATTATTAATTCATAGAGGACGTTGTTACAAGTAAAAAAATTAATTGGTCGTATCTTGCTGATAACTACATAATAGATAGACGTAAGTCAGTCACACGAAATAACTATTTGTGTGAAGTATTACGTTACGAAACACGCATATATTATACTAATACACTGTCAAATACATTTCCATAATTTACTCAAACAAGTTCACATAAATATCATGATGTACAAGCAACAGAATAAAATATTATGCTTCGTAATAAACACAAGACAATTATATCCTTATAACAGCAAGTCAGTTAGTTATATTATTACTAATCCAAATTGTCGAGTGTATGTTTTTCTATCTTCAAATATTTAATATTAATAATAACATTTCTGTTTTTTGTTCCAGTGATGCTATACTCGGATTTCTAGGATTTAACAAACCAACAATAATAAAGTGGATTCGTTATTACCCCAAAACCAAAGCCGGGATGACACAGAATGCAGCTTAAAAATGTTAATGTTTTCTTATATAACTGAGTGAACAGTGCTCCAGCGAATAAAGGCGTTAGGGACTGAAACTGTGTTAGTATTCCATAGAGCTTTCCTGTGGAAAGGAAAGATGAATATGAAACACAAGCAATTCAAACACATTGATAATCAACTCATTACAAATACACAATCCACATACGTAGACTTCGGTATTTGTATTCCTGTTATGGATTTCCACCAAATCTGAGATATGTGTATATCATATAATATACGTAGACCTCAGTGTTTGTATTTCTGTTAGAGATTTCCACCAAATCTGAGATATGTGTATATCATATAATATACGTAGACTTCAGTGTTTGTATTTCTG